ATCAGATCGGACAACGGTCCCCAATGTAATTCAGCCGAACTCACACAGTTTACCAAAGACTGGGGAATAAAACATTCAACGTCAAGCCCAAGGTTTCCTCAAGCAAAGGGAGAGGCTGAACGGGCCGTGAAGATAGTGAAGTCGATACTGAAGAAAGAAAAAGATCCAACAAAGGCACTACTCGCCTACAGGTCGACGCCGCTAGCTTGTGGATACTCGCCAGCTGAATTACTCATGGGAAGGAAGCTAACAACAAGCATACTCTCTTCTCCACAGCAATTGAAACCAAGATGGCCTGACCTAGAAGATTTCTGTAACAGGGAATCACAACGAAGCTTGACTTCGACGGACGACATAGAACAAGACTCACGAAACCATTGTTGCCAGATGACACTGTCTACATCAAAGACATGGACACCACTGGAATAATCACAGGTACAACAGGAACTCCTCGATCCTACCAAATCCAGACACCGAGAGGAACTCTTAGAAGGAACCGCGTACAGCTGTCACCTATACCTAAGGAAGAGATTAAAACCGAAACCACAGTGCAAGAAAATCCACCTTCACCATGACTCAACTCTAGACCTAAAAGACAGATAAAACCAACTTAGAAAGTTAAAGAAAATTTGGGTCTTTGAACATTGAACATTACACTGACGTTATTGACACTTTAGAAAAACTATCGTTCCATGTTGTTGTTTCGTTAAAAGAATCCTCACATTATACTTATAAAGGGGGATGTTGTGTGATCCATTTTAGTGTCACGTTAATAACTAATTAAATTTGCGCATATTGGAGATTGATTAAAAGAACACATGGCGGACACAAACACGTGTGTTGTATGTTGTTAATCTGAGCTCGTCCTAACCTACTTCTAAGTGAAACAGGAGAACGCTACAATATATATACCTCTTATGACTATTTTCTTTAATTTGTTGGGATTTATTTACCAGTACTTACAGTCCAAGTTGCTAACTATTTCATTTTAAAGGAGGTGTGACTAATTACGAAAAAAAATTCTTGCACAAGAAAATAAGGAGAAGGAAATCTTATACAAATGAACACGGGAAAATTGCAAAGAAATTAGTAAACAAAACAATTACAAGTACCAAAGTAGGAAAAAAAATTTTTCCCCGCAAAAAAGTGTCCACACCCCCACCCCTCTTCCCCTAAAGTAAAAAATTAAATGTTCCGTCCCCAAACAGAATAGATCGGGCAACAATTACAACTTTTATTGGAGCGGTAATATCTTATAACTTTGCCTCGTATCTTAAGAACCATTTCGTCATTTCGCCATTTCGTCATTTCGCCAAATCGTGTTTTAAACACGCCCGCGAAAAAAGCCCGAAAACTTGAAGTTTGAGATTTGATTTACTGAAGATCAAATTGTACACACGAGAAAACAAACCTTGAAGGTTAGTCCTAAGATGTTGATGTTTTATTTTTGTGAATCACAAAGTTGTATGTGGAGACGATCGTGAGATATTTGATCCGAGGAAAGATGGAAATTTAAATCTTGATCTTATTTTACTTCAACTTCGAAGTAAAATTGCATTAAGTTTGAGGTGGCCCCCAAGCATCAAATCACTTTACTTTTTTTCGGAAGGTTGTGGTGGATTTAACCAAGTCATGACCCACAGCCGGCCGTCTTTGGCCTTTTTGCTCTCCAAGTCTGTTGTGTATGGTAGGTAGGCATGTGTCTTAACAACGGTTATGGTCTTACCTTAATCAACTAAATTATCGTGCTTCAAAACGACTTCTTCGTTTGATGTACTTTTCTGAACCTAGAGCCCATGCTGTGCCTTTATTTGATTTCCTCAAAAATTCTACCTTTACAAATGTTATATGCTGAAAAAGTATCTTCTATAATGTTTGACGTTTCCTGCATGAATGCTTCGTCTAATATCTGTGATTTCTTTACTAAAGCTAATTCAAAGCACAAGCATGAGACCAGGTTTCATTTCGTGTGGAAATTATGTTCAAACTTCAAGACTGAATCTAAATCAAGATTCTTTTTCCAGGTTTGGAGCTAAACTTTGGAACGCAATTCCTAACGAATTTCGTCAACTCTCCAAAGGAGCTTTTAAGAAAAATTTTCATGACTTTTTGCTCTCGATAATGGAAGCAGAGGACGACTACGTTGAAGTGCCCATTCTTCTACAAAAAACGATAAATTCTGTATCCTTGAATTAATGTACTAATAATCGATAGGTTCTGTCAGGAGTAAATTTGATTATAGCATTATTCTGTAAGACTATATATTTTGTAACCTTAGCTTGTTTTTCAGTAATTCTTATTTATCCAGTTAGTTTATTTAGTTACTTTACAATTATTAGTTAGTTAGTTAGTTACTTTACAATTATTCTATTATCTGTTATGACTGCTGTAACCTTGCCTCTCCGCCCTCCTCGTCTAGCTTTTGCTATTTGTGGGTGGAGATGGCAAAATGATGTGCGTGAAATAAAGAGTTCATTCATTCACTACGGTTTTGGCTCATTTTTTTACTGTGTTTTGGTGGTAATTTTTATTATTACCTTTTCGAGCTTCATGTGCTAACTAGGGGAAAAACTTAGGTAAAACGTATTTACGAATTGGCCCCCAAATCCCTCACTATTGTTAGTTAATTGTTTATCTATCTGGCTTTCGGTCTAACTAGTCCATTTACCTAAAAAAAATGCGTGAGCTTTGTCTCATGAGTAAAACTGGTGCCGTTTTCTTCATGTTCATGTGTTATTGGAAACGAATGGCGTCAGCTGTATCTTGTCCTGTTCATTTCAGTAGAATGCTTTGCCTTGCGAAATAAATTTTGAGTCAAAGTGCAATATCAGGGAATTTCAAACCAGTTTAGTTATATTTCACTTTGCTGTGTCATGATCTTGAAGTTCTTATTTCTTGAGATTGATGATGGGAACTAACTGTTATGTTCTCTTAAATTCTGTTTAAGGTAATGTGAAGTGGCCCAATAATTGGTACTATAGACAGAATGGATGGCTGTGACATTTACTGTGGCTAGCTGTTATTCATCATCATAATCATCGTCATCATAACTTTATTGATGTGTCTACAAAGATTTAACATTGCTGCTAATTGGGGACACTTAAGGTAAGTTACAGTATATCAAAACTATATACCGGATGAATCAAGATAAAAGCTATTTACAAAAGGAATGAGTATTAAAATATATGTATCAGAGTAAAATTGTAAAAGCTAATAACAGTTAATATTCAAGAGTTTGTCACTATTCCCAGAAGCTTACTTCTTGTTTAAATTATCAACCTTTTGTTCTCTGTACACAACTTGCCTAGACTACTATCCTATATGGGAGTTATGTCTACTTTATTTGTAAAATTGGTAAAATTACCAATAAAATTTCCAATAAAGTTTTCAGAAGTTTTGTCCAGATTTCATTGAAAATGAATGTGAGGAGTGATCAGTCATATTCCTTAAGAGTGTTTAAGCTTCCAGGATGACAGCTAATAAATTTCTTGAGTGATTCATACATGACTTGTCTCCTGTAAAATTGACACAGCCAAACCCCCCTGGCAAATGTCTATAAATTTCTTTAAATAGCAGTCAGGTTGGTGCCCATTACCACTTAATGTGCAGTATCAAAGTCTCCTTTTGACTTGTCTTATTTCTCTTAAATCTAATAGGTGTAAATCCATTTTCATTAAGAGGTCAAAAAAACTCTCCTCATTATTTTAATCTGACTTCATTCGGTCTTGTTCCCAGGGGATAGTCAAGCCTTGGGAAATAATTTGGTTTTTGTCCTCACTGATACTATCAGCTGTACAGGTTGTCATCAAATTGTCAGATAACTCTTAGAATTTAATTGGTTGAAAAGTTAGGTTGCCGAAAAAGGGTGTACATGACAAGTTCTCTGATAAAATCCATAATTATTCTTCCATTTCCCCCAAGCTATGACAGCCATATCTCTAGTGCAGACCGTAATTATCTTACTTTTCTTCACGTGACAATTACATTTTGTGTTTCAGTAATCGCTCCCGCCGGTTGTGATTCGTGATAAAAACTTTTCAACCAAAACCTAAACTTCTGTGAACTTTTATTTTTTGCTGAAATTGCAAATACATTGCACTGGTAGTTGAACTCTAAATCACTCAAAGGAAAGTAAGTACTACAAATGTACTCGATTTGTTGAGACAGCAATGACATGATTAAATTACTTTCCAACACGTTTGTGCTCTTTGACAGGCCTCTTGTATCATTCACAAAAAGGATAATCTACATCAATTGCACCAACAATTATTAAAGAGGACTCGAATTTGAACTCAATTGTGCACCCTTTTGCTTTTGGAAAATCCATCGATTGTGACTTCCTTTCGCGCACCACACAAGCATATTAAGACTTGGACGCTTCCATCTAAGTTACAGAAGGAAAAATGACAAGAAAAGTTGTCTCAAGGGCTCGTTCCGCTATTGTTTTCCGACGAGTTTTCCTCCTTCACTTCTTTCGAGGGAAACCCTAACTGAGGCGTAGAAGCGATTATTTGCCTCTAACAAAAATTTACTGAACATGCGCTAAAAAATTGCCTCTCTGCTGTGATAGTGTTAATGTTAGGGATGTGTTAAGTCACTAAGTAAACACAGACCAATACATGTTAACTGGTCACTTAATTGTGAATCTTGTTTAGTGGACACGGCTACCAAAGAGCAGCTTTCGGGTTAACTTGATTGGTGCAATGCATACTATTTATATCATATCATATCATATCATAATTTAATTTGAATACTGCTCAGGGTACAGAGGTTTACAATGTGATATTAGGATTACACTGGAATATATAGGCGTAATTCTTTTAAAGATCATCCGCAATGTAAAGATGACACTTTGATGAAAGCAAATTGCATAAACAAGTTCTAACTCATAAACAGGTATATCCTGTGAGAATAAAAAATTTGCAGGCAGATTTTGAATATATGAAAATAATCCTAAACATTTTTTATGAAATAACTGAAATACTGCAGGTGCCCTAATGTGTCAAAAATATATCATTTATAGTACCAATAACCCCATACAATATTTGAGTTTATTTCATAAAGCAAGAGACTGCAGTTTCTATTAGTATACCACCATAATAACCCACTTGGCATGTTGGGAAAACACCCCACCCCCACCAAAGAAATCCTGCCTCTGGCTTGTATTAGCAAACTTTTCAAGTGCCCTCCCAACATCCTGTGTGGGTTATTATGCATTTAAACCAATAGAAAGTGTGGTCAATTGCTTAATGATACCAAGCTTGATTGACAAAACAAAACAAAGGACTAGAAGTAAATAGAAACAAATGTCACAAGTGAAAGAAACAAATATAGTTCAAGTAGAAAAAATTATTTATTCAGGCTATACAGAACATTACAATTGATACATCAAAACTGCAGTTCTTAACAGCTTGGTAAATAAAAAAACAATCAACCACTGGTACACCGATCTAAAATACATCTGAAGGTTGTGAAAGAGTTCTGAAACAGTTAAGATATGCACAAGCTTAATTACGTTATTGTATAGATCTGGGCTCTGGTAGAACCAAAGTGCCTTAAGAGATTAACCTTGTTTCTAGGATTATTTTGTAACTTTTTTTTTGCAATAGCTTTAAGAGCTGGGCAACACCAGTTTCTTAAAAGAATGCCTAACAGTACCTAACGGTACAAGGGCACAGCTTTGAACATATAATGAAATGAATGACATTAAACTAAGAAATCCAAGTTAAATTTATCTCTACAAAATGTTTACTCTCTATTGTGAAACTAAAATGTCTTCAACATTTTTGTCCTCCTTTGGCTAAATTTAATGAACTCCTATGAAACTTAACATGCCACAGATAGCAGTACATCTGAACCATTATCAAGTGGCAGATACTTTTCTACATTAAAACATTATTTTCTTTCTTAAGAGCTTTAAGGCATCCCACAATTACTCTAAGAAATCTAAACATTACTACAACACAATACCCCTTCAATTTGTTGATAGTTAAAAAAATTTATGTATCATAAATTATACTACTAACAATTTCTTCATATTTTTTCACCCAGTTCATCATTTCTTAATTAAAAAAATTCCTCTTTGAGGGATACAAGTATTAAAATTTCCCATTTCCTGCCTGTTTCAACAATAAAATCATTTATGAACAGGTATTCTGAACCCATGGTACACCCTGATTTAAAGCCCGATGAGTACTTCAATCCATCTCAGACTGAACCCCAACCCCTAAAATTGATACTTCTGAAAAAGTACTTACAATATTTGACTACAAATTATGTCTAAAAACAACAGTCTTATAAAAATCACATATACTATCATAAAGAAGGATCAGCAAACAAAGAATTGTGTTTTATTGATTTACTGGGACAATTCAATTACTTTGAGCAACTCTTCTTTTTGCTCTCCCTTGTATTTAGGTATGAAGTTTTTGATAAACTCAACCACTAAATCTCCTGGCAATGCATTGCTTAAATTGAATTGAGTATGTGTTTCCAAAGCATCATACAGTTTTAATGTGAGAAGATGCAATGAAAACTGACAGGTGGGGGGGATCTACCGTAGATTTTTACCCGATTCAGAAAGAAAAACTACATCATAATCCAGCACATCATTAATAGCATGGACTTGCATTGATTTTCTTATCTCTAAAATTGCCTTCCTTTCATCTGGTGTTAAAATCCTTTTGATATGTTTCTGAGTTGCAATACCAACTACCCTTACCTTACCACCTACCCAAGTAAGAACTGGCCCACCTGAGTTCCCAGAATTCAGTGAGCAGTTCAATACTGCCATTGAATGACCTGATAGGGTTCTCTTAGAGCCAGAGACATTCCCAGTCACAAAAAGAGCAGTTTTTTCTGTGTGACTCATCGGATAACCAAAAGAAAATATCTGCATTCCTGGCAACAATGGTTGGGTTGACAACTGTAATGCACAAATTCCACTTTCTTGCAAATTAAGATCTGGACAATAAAGTAATGCAAGATCCTTAGAAGGATCACTATGAGCAACCTCACAATGAAGCTCACCAATGGCTGAATTGGAAAAGCAAATTGCAGAACTATCTTTATTGTCTAGATGGGTCTGTATCACATGCTTGTTGGTGAGGATAAAGAGGTCACTGATGATAAATCCAGAGCCATGCTCAATTTCAACATGGGCTATGGCTTCCTCGTACTCTTCCTTAATACTTTTCCTCTCTTCATCTACCACTTCTTTCATTTTATCATAGTCTTTTCCTTGTTTGGGATACTTGTCAAGAACCTTTTTGGTATCAAAATAATCAAGAGAGTCTTTTATGTCCAAAATGGTAAATGTCTGGTAAATCCTTGGCATTCCAATCTGATCTCTCTTTCTGGGAAACATATCAGTATCCCCATCGTCGGAACCTGGAAAAGAGTAAAATTCATCTTGATTGATTAATCTAAGAGCCAGGGAAATCCAACCCACAGCCACCTCACCAGCTTGTCAACTCGGTTTTTTCTACACATTTTTGCATTTCCCTTTCATTAAGTAGCAAAAAGCACTGATTGGAGTACTAGTGAATTAAGAAAAGAAATGATATCTCTTTCATCACAAGCTTGTGTCAAAGGAAAAAAAGCTTAGATTTCCAAGGAATTGAACACAACACCTTTGGCTCTTGTGCTCCAGTCATGGAGGGGTACTTTTTCCTTGAGTTTTCCGAAGGAAGTGCCCGAGTTAAAAATTTGGCTTAATTTTTCTTTTTTGTGTTCAGTCACAAAACGCAGTTCCACTACAGTGCATGCGTGAAGCCTATGCGTATGCGTAGCAGGAACCCTAGAGCACGTGGCCTAAAGCAATGGCTGCCTT